ATTTAATCCCTCTTTACTGAATGAGTCAACGAATTTTTATACTTTCTCTTTTATTAAATCAATATCAATACAAATAACAATCCAGTTAGATAAAAGAAATTCTACACTAAAAGACCACAGGCCCATAGTGCAAATCAATTTTCGGGAGTGGTTGTTAATATCATCAACAACTCAAACTCTTAATTGGTATTTATTCAAGAGTTGAATTATCAGTTGATGTCATTTTCGATGTATTTATTCAAGAGTTGAATTATCAGTTGTTGTCATTTTCGATATATTTATTCAAGAGTTGAATTATCAGTTGTTGTCATTTTCGATGTATTTATTCAAGAGTTGAATTATCAGTTGTTGTCATTTTCGATGTATTTATTCAAGAGTTGAATTATCAGTTGTTGTCATTTTCGATGTATTTATTTAAGAGTTGAATTATCGGTTGTTGTCATTTTCGATGTATTTATTCAAGAGTTGAATTATCAGTTGTTGTCATTTTCGATGTATTTATTCAAGAGTTGAATTATCAGTTGTTGTCATTTTCGATGTATTTATTTAAGAGTTGAATTATCAGTTGTTGTCATTTTCGATATATTTATTCAAGAGTTGAATTATCAGTTGTTGTCATTTTCGTTGTATTTATTCAAGAGTTGAATTATCAATGGTTGTCATTTTTCGATGTATTTATTCAAGAGTAGAATTATCAGTTGTTGTCATTTTCGATGTATTTATTCAAGAGTTGAATTATCAGTTGTTGTCATTTTCGATGTATTTATTCAAGAGTTGAATTATCAGTTGTTGTCATTTTCGATGTATTTATTCAAGAGTTGAATTATCAGTTGTTGTCATTTTCGATGTATTTATTCAAGAGTTGAATTATCAGTTGTTGTCATTTTCGATGTATTTATTTAAGAGTTGAATTATCAGTTGTTGTCATTTTCGATGTATTTATTCAAGAGTTTAATTATCGGTTGTTGTCATTTTCGATATAACCTTTCGTTGAGTGGGATGTACATTTATAAGCAGTTCTATACATTTAGGCCAGGTTCACACAGTGTCGATTATGGCTCCCGTTTGAGATCAGACAGCGCTACGACACGTAAAGTGAAAAAGTCGGATTACTATCCTCAATGATATGGAATGTCCTATCATTGTCTGAAGGCAGTCGTGTACGTTCGTAACAGAGTCCTACGGATCGGGAAAGGTCCAGAGAGGTCGACCATGCACTCCCGACAGTATGGCGCGTCCCGTAACATGCGGGAAACTCAGCCGATTTTGTCGAGTCGGATTACAATCGTGACTATATGTCGTGACAGATTCTGCTGTATCGGATCAAAATCGTAACAATGTCCTGTGTTGTCTGGACTCTGTCCTGTGGATCGGAGCGCTGTCGTGTTGAACCTGCATGAATTGTTCATTGCCGTTTCTTGTCGATTGAGTCCAGATTGCGTCCAGATCTTCCATCCTTGTCGGTTCACTCTCTGATCACTGTCTGATCTCTGTCGGATCGCATTCGGGAGAATCGGGACGCTGTCGGGGCAGATTCGGTCATTTTTCACCATGTGAAAGATACAAATAGGATCAGATTCGGATTGAGAACCGGAGAATCGGGACGAATTCGGCCAGCTTCCTGAACAATATCTGATTGTTTGTGAATTTCAAGCCACGAATCCCAGCATCTTGCTCAGACTTTTGACAAATTTTAATCGGGAATAGTCCTATCAAGGACGGCAGAAAAAATCCTGAATGTGTGACTGAGCCCTGAATGACTGAAATGAAACTCATTTTTCATCATATTTAAAACACATTGCCCACAAATTCCAAATTATCTAGCTATGATTGTATGTCTGTCCAATTTAGTCATAATCATGCAGTTGTTTCGCACCTTCGCGGGTCATATCTTTTGTCGTCCTCCTCTAGCTTTCTGTACGTTTCTACAGGTCTTTACTGAGATACAAACATGCAAAATAAAATTATATCAAATTTAGAGTTTTGAAGGGTATTTTGCTTATAAAATATAGAACAAATACATCATTATCTAAGTTTATTATCATCTCTTTCCATAATGTATTGCCTGCTGCGTGGCTCAGTGGATAGCGCGTATGCCGGGAGAGCCGCGCCGCGTCATGCCAAAAGACGTTAAAAGATGGAACTTGTTATTACCCTGCCTGGTGACGGGCGTTAGGGGCATAAAAACAAGGTCTTGTCGATTTGGGGTCGGTATACCGTGTCTAATTTGGGATGAAACTTCGGCATGGTGTATGAGTTGGCTTGCACTCTAAAATTAGCATTAGTCCGGACTCGTACGAGCAGCCACACTGAACTAGCTAGATACAAAACAGGCATTAGTCTGGGCTTATACATTTAGAGGTTACCGCCTCGCCCGGCGGTCATTATTTACTGCATATACTGGTCGTCAAAATCATCATTCGGCAAGTCAAGGTTAACTTCATGAATTTCTTAATTGTACTTTCTAATTAAAATATATTTTATCATTAAGAAAAAAGTACTTCAATGTTCATAGGACATGGGGAACTGAGATGAGAATGATACGTTTTTCGGCAAAATTATCGCCGAAAATCATCTAAATTATCCCCTCTTGTATACAAGTTATTATTTAATGAAGACCTATTTGTCAAATGTAAACCTAAATGGATTACATAATTCAAATGAACTTTTGACGAACTTGGACATAGCTACATCTGCCTTTCACAAATTTTAAAAAGTTTAATTTAAAGAACAATTAAATGACATTAAACTACAGTGTTGGACAAGTGCAAGAGATAAGGTTTCAAAAGGAACAATGTATAGTATCATAAAGATTGATGGCCTAAATTTTGAATATTACCTAAACATACCTTTAACGAGTTTAACTTAAGTTTAGTGAGTGAGTGAGTTGGGTTTAACGCCGCTTTAAACAGTATTCCAGTCATATCACGGCGTGTCAACTTAATGTGGGAGGAAAGCCCGAGTGATGCAGGTCTCAGACGTTTACCACTTCGGTGAAACCCACGAGACCGGGTATGGTGCTGACAAACCTAGAACCATAATAATAGGGTTCTGGCGTGCCCAAGGGACGCAACTCTGCACAGCGAATCGCGGCGCCTTAGACGACTGGGCCACCCGTGCCCCCTACTTAAGTTTAGAATTTGTAACCATAATCTACCTATTGAAACTGGGAGATGAAGGAAAATAGCTTTAACCGAAAGAAAAAGTCCACTTTGTAAACTTTATGACATATATGTAGGTGATGAATTCCAATATTTGTTTCTATGTCCATCTTTAGAAAACGAAAGAAAACATTTTTACACATATTCTTCTACATCGAGCCCAATAAGTATCAAATAATTTACTTTTCAATAATTCACGATTAGAAACATTGAGAAAACTGTCCAAATTCTGTAAAAATAATCATGTCATTTTTTAACCTATCAAGTAACTCTCCCTTTTATTGAATTACACATATATTGCCGCCGTAGCGAATTTGTATAAATATGCTTATATGTTCGCAAAGGTGTTTTCTAGCGACCTGAGTGTAAATAAAAGTTCAGTTCATGTCTGGGAACGAGAACGATAAGTGCAGGATTTTCAGGCAATCCGAAAAACTAACTTTCATCTTATTTACTTTAAGCGGTTTGGTTCTACTGTATCAAATGACATAACGGTACCCGAGAGATTTCATGAATATATTTGTTTATACTCTATTATTTGCATGAACCACATGTTTGGGAGGGTTGAGTGAAAAACATTCGTTGCCTTGATTATTATTTCGTTCCCTCGATTAACTTGACAGTGCTATCAAACGATCACTAATGCAACTCAATCTCTTTAAACAATGAAAGTGCACGCATTGTACTATTGTATATAGGTGAAGCGTCCGTGTCGCTATGGCAACAACAGCTGCTACATATAACTTGCAAAACACGTTATGTTATTAAGACCAGAAAACGTTGATCGTGACATGATACTGTCGATAACCTATTTTTAATCTGGCTAAAATGCTTAAGCATATAAATGTGTTCTATTTTTTAAATAATACAAGGCATCACGAAGTGTGACAATTTCCCAGTCCCTCTTGCGAGGAAAGTAAATGAATGATAGCACCATTGTACCATTGTAAACAGCATTCATCACATCCCGACAAAATCAATGATGTTTGTCAGTAATGTATCAGCGCGTGCTAAATGGTTAAAACTACATAAAGTTGACTGTGGGAAAACAAGGGTGCGCTACGCCTGCAGTTAAGTGACTACCACGCGGTTTTCGATGTTCCGGGACACCAAGCTGTACGCAGATACCGCACAGTGATGTGACAGAACTCGTGCTGGGCAAGAAAGAATCATTATTCACTAACAGAATGTTTTTCGCTGACTCTATTTATAAATATACATTATCATCGTGAAACAGTCATAGCCCCAAGGACGTGAACTGAGATCGGTTTTAAGGTCTCGTAAAATTTAAAGTTGAATTGACTTAAAAATACACATTTATATGAGTTTGCAAGGACGATGTTTAAAAGTGCCGATTAAATAAATGAATAACTTTGTAACTTAACGATTATCAAAAAGTAATATTGATATCTACTTTTAAAACTGCAATATAGAATTCGCGACACTAATACTGGTAAATAGAACAAATTAATACAGTAATCAACAAAGTACAGTAAACTACGGTTATAACGAACTCAAAGGGACTACTATTTTTAGTTCGTTATAACCGTAGCTCGTTATAAGCATATTTACAGCATAACTACAGCAAATAGTCGGGACTAAAAAGTTAGTTCGTTATATCCGTAAGTTCGTTATAAGCGTGTTCGTTATAACCGAGGTTTACTGTACCAGTATTTGATCAGCCATAGCGCCGTTATGGCGAGACCGATGGATATTGATTGTTAGTTAACAAACACAGTATCAACACAAATCTGGATAAAATATTTAACACCAGTTTGTTTGGGACCGTTGCCAATAATATGAGATTATGCATATGGACGGTTTCAGTCTACACGTCCATCCTGGGCATTCAGGTCACTTAATAGCGCCTGAAAGCCGACTAATGCGTTAAGCGACACAGGTGATTTCCCAGAGTGCCCGTTTTTACTGCACACGCAGTTATTTGATAGGTCACATGACCAGCCTGTGTGATATAGGTGCTGCTTAAAAGGAAGATGTATGAAACTGCAACACAAACGCAGTTTCATCCTTCATGGAGAGCGCCACGTGGGGTCAGAAGGTAGCTCGGCGCCTCAGCACATCAGTAAGTACCACTATCTGTATGGCTACAGTTACGACATGCCATCATCCGTTATCAGTATTGTGACATAACGCTGTATTACAGCAGCAAATTACGACATGCCATCATTCGTTAACATAATGTGGCATAACGCAACATTACTGTAGCAAATTACGACATGCCATCATTCGTTAACATACTGTGGCATATATCGCCGCATTACTGTAGCAAATTACGACATGCCATCATTCGTTAAAATAATGTGGCATAACACGCCACACTGTAGCAAATTACGACATGCCATCATTCGTTAACATACTGTGGCATATATCGATTCCTGTGACATTTTCAAAACATTTCCAAGTGAAAACGGGACTTTTACAGTCAGTTAACTCCCTTACCTCGGGAAGATGATATTCAATAAACAATCTGATCCGAGTGTTTTGGGTCTTTTATATCAAATATATCAACAGTAATCGCTCCATGTTTGAAACTGTCGTCGCCTGCCGAGGAGTCTTTAAATTTTATGGACGAGTGTTGATATTTTTGTCAAACGACACGAGAGTGAGATTCTATTTATCATCCAAAATCATTCTTCCCGAAAATAGTTGTATTTTGTTAATGTATATATTGTTGATTATAGAGGTCTTAATGACAGGGTTCCACTGTCTCTTGACCCTGGGGGGCACGGTGGGCCCAGTCGTATAGGCGCCGCGATTCGCTGTCCAGAGTTGCGTCCCTTTGGCAGTCCCTTTTCGCCAGAAACCTATGATTGTGGGTTCGAATCCCGATTTGCCCTGATTATTTTTCTAGGTTTGTCAACACCATACCCATGCTCGTGGGTTTCACCGAAGTGGTAAACGTCTGCATGATACCTGCATCACTTCGGGCTTTCCTCCTACATTAAGCTGACACGCCGCGATATAACAGGGATACTGTTAAAAGCGGCGTTAAACCCAACTCACTCACTCACTATTGACCCTGTGTTGCAGCTGTCCGGGTCGTACGATCCTCACTACAAGATGTCAAAGTCGGAGAATTCCGAGCCGGAAGAGGAGCCGAAAAAAACGGCCAAGTCTGTATCGGCCGAGTTTGCAGATATGACATCGATGATGGGCGTGAACTATATCCATCACTCCCGGAGGCTGTGGGCGAAGGGATTCTGGCTCTTCATTGTTCTGGGAGGATGTGGTGCTATGATCTTCCATCTCTACTACCTCTGCAGTGTGTTCTTTGCGTTCCCAAAGCAGACAAAAATTGTCCTTGGTTTCGACAGCTTGAGATTTCCAGCAGTCACCGTGTGTAACATCAACCCTATACGGGGTTCTAAGCTGGCGGAGTCTGGCCCCCTCATGCAAACCCTTATGCAGAATACCAACACCACTAACCTCATCAGATTCTTCAACGTGAGTGTCCAGCGCAAATACTTTTCCCTTTTTTGTTTTGATGTTGTTTTGACAATTTTCCTTCATTAACAATTTTTATGCCTCAAAGTGAGATTGACCAATCAGAGAGCAGAACTACCGACCCAATACGAGCCCGTATACCGTCTGTAAAAATCCGTTCTGGTACAGAAATTTGTTATTCGACACTGTTTTGTGCTTTAATGTCATTAATTTTTATGTGCGAGGAGGTTAATGTGTTTTTGGATCACGTTCGTGACTTAAATAAAGATGATATAAAGTTAAAATTATCAACAAGGTTTGGCCTCTTAGGTTTGAAGAGTAGTCTCCCTTTGATCCTTAACGTCTTTGGTTGTAAGTGTTTAGTTTTGAGTTTTAGGTTTTGACATGACATGTGCGACAAGGATACCAAATAGTGTAAACTTTTCGGCATAATAAATTCCTTCGCTGACGCCTCGCCCAATGTTTTTCTGCTAACCTAATATGACACCGTATACGACAACTAAAGACACCATAACTAATAATATGTGTTTCATTTTTCGAGGAAACTGATTTAGGTAATGGAAACCCCGCTGCAACACAACCCGGAAGTACACAAGCCCAGAGTGGCAGTACCCCAGGGACCGGAAGTACCCTTGCGTCAGGGCCCGGAAGTACCCAAGCGTCAAGAACCAGAAGTACCCAAGCGTCAAGAACCAGAAGTACCCAAGCGTCAAGGCCCCAAAGTTCCCCACCTCCAGGAAGTAAGTAAAGATTTTGAAGACTGTCCATTAAAAGATAAATATGATATAGATAATAGAAATAAAAGCGACAAAACCCTTATTCATAAGAATATTATCTTACGATACCGACTATATCATTAGCGTGTGTTTACAAATCACTATCAATTAGTCATGACACAAGATATTTGGGGGCACGGGTGGCCATGTCGTCTAAGGCGCCGCGATTCGCTCTGCAGAGATGCGTCCCTTGGGCGCGCCAGAAACCTATGATTGTGGGTTCGAATCTCGGTTCGCCCCGATTATGTTTCTTGGTTTGTCAGCACCATACCCGTGCTCGTGGGTTTCACCGAAGTGGTAAAGGTCTGAGACCTGCATCACTTCGGGCATTCCTCCAACATTAAGCTGACACACCATGATATAACTGGAAAACAGTTAAAAGCGGCGTTAAACCAAACTCACTCACTCACAAGATTTATTGCGAAAAGGTTAGGGTATCCTGGCCACCCTTCACAAACACATGCACAGGCAAATGTCCACCTAAACTGATACGGGAACATATGGTACAAGTTGAAATAGGAATTTGCATCGGACATAATTTAGGTCGCTGACGCGTTAAATTTGGAAGCGTTCTCCGCATGTCTTGAATGAAACCTTTGAAAGCCTCGCATGTGATAACTGATCAAACATCTTTTGAGCAAGACTCCTTTATCATCTTCATAGAAAGAGTATACTCGATTGTACTTTAAAACCCGTGAAGCTCCGGGATAGAATATGTCTTTAGCAACCCATGCTTGCCGTAAAAGACGACTATGCTTGTCGTAAGAAGCGCCTAACGGGATCGGGTGGTCAGGATCGCTGACTTGGTTGATGCATGTCATCGATCTCAATTGCGTGGATCGATGCTCATGATATTAATCACTGGATTTTCTGGTCCAGACTCGATTATTTACAGACCGCCGTCATATAGCTAGAATATTGCTGAGTGCGGCGTTAAACAACAAATAAACAAACAAACACATTGTACCTCAAAAGAATTACGCCATAGGATGGAGCTGGTGGAATTAACGTTAAGTTGAAGTCACCTCTCTTGTCATATAATCAAGTGATTGGTTTTTCGTCACTCTGCATCTTCATAAATGGATCTAAATATGAACAGGTTCTCTGGCCTCTTTTACTTTTAGTTCAGGAGTGGAATTGGCTATTTGATAAAAGAGATTTTACTGAAGATTAAGTGAAGTTTCTCTGCCAAATTCTCCTTTCAAGATAGAGGGGCACGGGTGGCCCAGTCGTCTTAGGCGCCGCGATTCGCTGTGCAGAGTTACGTCCCTTGGGCACGCCAGAAACCTATGATTGTGGGTTCGAATTCCGGTTCGCCCCGATTATGTTTCTAGGTTTGTCAGCACCATCCCCGTGCTCGTGGGTTTCACCGAATTGGAAAACGTCTGCATGAGACCTGCATCCCTTCGGGCTTTCCTCCCACATTAAGCTGACACGGAATACTGTTAAAAGCGTCACTCACTCAGTTTTAAGATAGCGGTGTAAGAATCTATATGGTCACCACGTTTAGTGACAAATGTCCCATAGATCAAGGGATGTATACACAAAGAAAAAAGTTAAGCACACCCTAAAATATTTCATTATTGTTTGGTACCAGTATCTGAAACAGTCATGAAAGATATAATTACGGGAAGAACGATGACGTAATCAGTCATGCGAGACGAAAGCTCACGTACCATGCATGGCAACCCCGTGCAGCATGCTACCCTCGAATATCTGTAAAAGCAGTATATCCAAACATTAAACTTGCTCTCTTAAGCTCGGTTTTAAACAGTTATTCCATGACATTGTGTGACCATGGCACGAAGGCGATTATCAAACGCCATGAGATGGTAAATAATCGGCATGCATAACGCAGGAATGTCTTGTAATGTCATTGGTCGGAATTTGGGATATCATCACACCGACGTAAGCCGTTTAGTCGAGAAACATGCTCAGACCGGTGATGTACAGGACCGTCCCGGATCCGGAAGACCTCCTGTGACGACACATCGCGAAGACAGGGGCCTTCTTCGTCCCATGCGCCGTGAACCCTTTTTAACAAGTATTCGTCTGAAGCTGTGGTTGCCCAATCGTCGTTTCAGCACCAGAACCGCCGGGCACCGGCTGAATGCGGCAGGACTGAGGGCTAGACGAGTCATAAAGCGTTCCTTGTTGAGAGATCAGCACAAAGCTGCTCGTTTAGCATGGTGTATTGCGCGACAGAACTGGAATCTGAGAATTTGGAGACGGATCCATTGGTCAGACGAAAGTTGCTTTCCGCTCCAAGTCACTGATGGAAGAACAAGGGTTTGGAGGCACCGGAACACGGCCTATTGCCCCAGGAACATTAAACCGACTGTTGCATACGGCGGGGGCTCGGTAATGGTTTGGGGGTGTATCTCCCATGATTGCAGGTTGGATTTGGTCACCATAAGGGGCAACTTAACAGGGCCTCAGTACATCCGGGACGTTTTGAGGCCACCCTCTTGCTACCCGACCTCAGTACATGGATGGTAACGCCAGGCTTCATCGTTCGAATGCAGTCGTGGATTAAATGCAATAACGACTGTATTCAATAACGACTCTACCCTGGCCAGCAATAAGCCCAGATTTGAACCCCCTTGAACATGTTTGGGATATTCTTGGGCGGCGCATACAGGCACGAAATTATGCTTTACGAGATTTACGCCAATTGGAAGCAGCATTGCATCAGGAGTGGTTGCTGTTGACCCATCAACAGATCCAACGTCTGACTGGAGGCATGAGACGTATGGTGGAATGCGTCATCCGGGCACGTGGCGGTTATACCCGCTACTGATCTGTTTCACGTGTCATGTCAAGGAGAGACTTTAAGGAACATTTTCATATAAAATATCAAACGTAACTCCGAGTAAGGTTTACTTAATCCTGCATCTTCAAACCTTTTTTAGGTATTGCCTAAGGTCAAAAACAGTACCTGTGTATTACAATCACAACTCTTATCAATATCTTCTTTATTTGTTGCCAAATGTTTGTTCTATCCGATGGCATTGGTATCGCCAAGCTCCTGTGGTCAGTCATCCCATGCGATGATTTTTGGCATTGTCATTTGTCATGGTTCAGAAATAGGGGTGTGCTTAACTTTTTGTGTGTATATTTTCCATACTGTATGAAGTGGGATAATGGTGTAGTACAGAGAAAAGACAGGGAACAGACAGCCTCTGTGCACAGTATGTTTGTGTGCTGATTAACGCCGCACTCAGCATTATTCCAGCTACATGAATAAATAATCGAGTCTGCACCAGACAATCCAGTGATTGACATCATGAGCATTGATCCATGCAATTGGGATACGATGACATGCATCACCCAAGCCAGAGAGCCTGACCACCCGACTCCGTTAGTCGCCTCTTACGACAAGTATAGAGCGTCTGCCCGGAGAACTGTAGGTCGGTGGTTCGATCCAAAGACGTTAATAGATGCTATCTGTTGTCTTGGCGACTCGGAGACAGTATTCTGCTAGGGTAACCATGTTAAACACACATTACACACGTCAGTTACATAAGTGAAATAGCTTGAACTCGGCGTTAAACCCTTTTTAACCTCATCTCACAGAAAGAAACCAACTTTTTTTTGTAATCTGTATACTGTCACTAGAGGGTGTCACTATGTCCTGACAGGTAGCACCGGCAAACGGAGACGCAAACGTTATTTAGACGACTTTACCGTGAACGTCACAAACTCCTACCTCAACATCTCCGACAGCCTTAGGGACGACTACAACGACGATTGGGAAAGAGCTTCGCCAAGAACGACAGAATCAAGAATTGAGCATGAGTTTGAAGACCTTTACAGTAAGATACCCAGGTACTGAACCAAACGATTACCATAACATCCGGGTTTCACTACACCCCAGCATTCAAGGCATATAGACTTCAATACTGAAGTATTAAACCGAACATTAGCTATTGCACTTGGCAAAACAGACAAAAAGCAGATATTCAACCGCCATGCAACCACCAAGCCCACGTACATGTATTAAACCGTGCATTATCACACGTGTTATAACCCATATATATATAACCATATACCCATAACACAGCACACTACTCAATATTTTTATCCCCTTCAGATGTAAACGTATCCTTCACTGAAGGATTTATCCACTTTAGAAGGAAAACGTGTCTTGTTTGAACGCATCATTCCTTCAGATGTAAACGTGTCCCTGTCTGAACGATTTATCCAACCCAGTTGCAAACGTGTCATTGTCTGAATGATTTATTCCCCGCAGATCTAAACGTGTCCTTTTCTGAACGCTTTTTTCCATGTATTCCCTACAGAGGAAAACGTATCCAAATTGGCCACCAGCTGAAGGATTTTATGGTGAAAAGTTCATTTTCTGGAAGGACAATTAAAAGCAAGTAAGTTCGATCATTGACATTGTCTTGGTGCAATTTCCCACCCAACTATTTATCTCCACACAAGTGTAAGTATTGGGCATTTGCACATCTGGAAGTGATGTCCTTCGTTGATGTGAGCACTTCGTCTTTTTAAATGTCGGTTAATCGAGTAAGAGACCGTCCGCAAGATTTATTCTGTCTGTGTGTGTGTGTGTGTGTGTGTGTGCTTCTGTGTGTGTGTGTGTGTGTCTGTCTGTCTGTGTGTGCGTCTGTGTGTGCGTCTGTCTGTTCTCTCTGTGTGTCTCTGTGTTTCTGTGTGTGTATGTGTCTGTGTGCTTGTCTATGTGTGTCTGTGTGTGTCTCTCTCTGTGTCTGTCTGTCTGTCTGTCTGTGTGTGTCAGTGTATCTGCGTGTGTCTGTTTGTGTGCGCCTGTGTGTTTGTCTGTGTCTGTGTGCGTATGTCCGTGTGTGTGTCTGTATGTTTGTGTGTGTATGTGTATCTGTATGTGTATGTGTGTCTGTATGTCTGTGTGGTTTTGTGTGTGTCTGAGTGTGTCTGTGTGTATCTCTGTGTGCGTCACTGTGTGTGTATCTCTGTGTTCGTCACTCTGTGTGTGTGTGTGTGTGTGCGTGCGTGCGTGCGTGCGTGCGTGCGTGCGTGCGTGCGTGCGTGCGTACGTGTGTGTGTGTGAAGGAGGGGGTGAACGTAAATAAATGATGTGGAAACATTGTCCGACTTCTCCTTCCAGCGAGAAGGACTGCGGGTCTTGAATTAGTGCGCCACCTATTCTATCTGACAAAAGACACGTGTATTTCAGTAACTACATCGTCCACCCGTCCATGACCTACGGAAACTGTTTTACCCTGCAGTACCCGGACTTTGTCAGCCGGAAGAGTGGACCAGTAGACGGTGAGTAGCAACAGGTCCGGGCTCGTGCACAGACTACGGTGTGAGTGAGTGAGTGAGACTTAATCACGTCTATTTGTATTAAGGGGGCAGTGTGAGTGAGTGAGTGAGTGAGTGAGACTTTTTTCATTTATATTAGTAATACTATTAAGATGACAGTGTGAGTGAGTGAGTGAGTGAGACATATCTCATGTAAATTAGTAATACTATTAAGATGGCAATTTCAATGAGTGAGTGAAACATGTATTTCGTGTATATTAGTATTTAGATGGCAGTGTGAGTGAGTGAGGCATATCTTATGTATATTATAATACTATTAAGATGGCTATGTGAATGAGTGACATGAAACATGTATTTCGTGTATATTAGTGTTTAGATGGCAGTGTGAGTGAGTGAGACATATCTTATGTATATTAGTAATACTATTAAGATGGTTATGTGAATGAGTGACATGAAACATGTATTTCGTGTATATTAGTGTATAGATGGCAGTGTGAGTGAGTGAGACATATCTAGTGTGAGTGAGCGAGACATAATAGTATTAAGGTGGCTGTGTAAGTAAGTGAGTGAGTGAGACATATTTCATGTATATTAGTAATAATATTAAGATGGCTGTGTGAGTGAGTGAGACATGTATTTCGTGTATATTAGTATTTATATGGCAGTGTGAGTGAGACATATTTCATGTATATGAGTATTAAGATGGTAGTGTGAGTGAGTGAGACATATTTCATGAATATTAGTATTAAGATGGCTGTGTGAGTAAGTGAGTGAGTGAGTGAGTGAGACATATTTCATGTATATTAGTATTAAGATGGCAGTGTGAGTGAGTGAGTGAGACATGTTGTTTATATATATTAGTATTAAGATGGCTGTGTGAGTGAGTGAGACATATTTCATATAACTTCTTTGAGTGGCATTTAGAAGTTGGAGTGATGAAGTAAGACGAGTTCTATGGATGAACAACTTCTTTATTACAATTAGTGCGACGTTTCGGTGTAGATCCTAACACCTTTATCAAGCAAGTGATGAAACGTCGCTCTAATTGTAATAAAGAAGTTGTTCATCCATAGAACTCGTCTTACTTCATATTTCATATATATTAGTAACACTGTTTAGATGGCAGTGAGTGAGTGAGTGAGTGAGAGATACCCCTATCATGCCTATAGTATGAAGGTGGCAGCGTAAGTGAGTGAGACCCCTCTCATATCCAATAGTATAAAGATGGCAGTGTGAGACTACTTTCAAATAGTATTAAGGTGACGGTGCGGGTGATGTGACACTGACTTTTCTCCCCTAGGCGTCGAGATGGTGTTGTTCCTGGAGAACTATGAGTATCTTCGTGGCTGGACCAACGGCAATGGTGCTCACCTGGTTGTTCACGACAGAAGCACCGTGCCCCTCGTGGAGCAGGATGGCGTGGCAATCTCGGGGGGAACGGAGACGTTCATCGGCCTCAAGAGGGTAATCAACAACACTCTCTATACTTCAACAGAAAGTACTTTAATAATACTTAAATTATTGTCTGAACGGCGTTTGGCTTCACGGGCAAGGGTAGGATAGCACTGCGGGGCTCTGTGTCTAACGCTGACTGTCGTTATCAGTCTCCATACAACAAGCCACGTCATGCTGATCCGAGGTATTCTACGTCAACATAAACGAGAAATGTTCACGTTTGGTTTTTGTTCAGTCCATGAGTGAAGCTCACGTGAACATAGACGTCAGTGAACAGACCTGCACATACACTTCAGTGAACATGTCTTTACACTGACGTCACCCGTGAAGATCCGGGTTAGGAAAGGTATCGGCGTCCGACCTTTCGGGCGCATATCGCCTCCACCAGTACTCTCTGAAGCAAACGAGAGGGAATCAGCGTGACCCGTGAAGATCCGGGGTAGAATTGGTCTTCAGCAACTCATGCTTGCCGTAAAAGGCGACTATCCTTGTCGTAAGAGGCGACTGACGGGATCGGGTGGTCAGGCTCGCTGACTTGGTTGATGCATGTCATCGTATCCCAATTGTGTTGATCGATGCTCATGATATCGATCACTGGATTGTTTGGTCCAGACTCGATTATTCACAGACCGCCGTCATATAACTGGAATATTGCTGAGTGCGGCGTTAAACAACAAGCAAACAAAACATTCACATCAGTGAAGACGCCTGCACATACACGTCTGTGAACACACATCTGCATATACACGTCAGTGAACACACATCACATCCACGTCAGTGAACACGCCTCCACATACACGTCAGTGAACACATCTGTACATACACGTCAGTGAACACACATCACATCCACGTCAGTGAACACACCTCCACATACACGTCAGTGAACACACCTCCACATACACGTCAGTGAACACACATCACATCCACGTCAGTGAACACATCAGTACATACACGTCAGTGAACACACATCACATCCACGTCAGTGAACACACCTCCACATACACGTCAGTGAACACACCTGTACATACACGTCAGTGAACACACCTCTTCATACACGTCAGTGAACACACCTGTACATACACGTCAGTGAACACACCTGTACTTACACGTCAGTGAACACACCTCTACATACACGTCAGTGAACACACCTCTACATACACGTCAGTGAACACACCTCTACATACACGTCAGTGAACACACCTCTACATACACGTCAGTGAACACACCTGTACATACACGTCAGTGAACACACATCGCATACACGTCAGTGAACACACCTCTACATACACATCAGTGAACACACCTGTACATACACATCAGTGAACACACCTCCACATACACGTCAGTGAACACAACTGCATATACACGTCAGTGAACACACCTGTACATACACGTCAGTGAATACACCTCTACATACACGTCAGTGAACACACATCGCATACACCTCAGTGAACACACCTCTACATACACGTCAGTGAACACACATCTGCATATACACATCAGTGAACACACCTCCACATACACGTCAGTGAACACACCTCCACATACACGTCAGTGAACACACCTCCACATACACGTCAGTGAACACACATCTGCATATACACGTCAGTGAACACACATCACATCCACGTCAGTGAACACGCCTCCACATACACGTCAGTGAATACATCTGTACATACACGTCAGTGAACACACATAACATCCACGTCAGTGAACACACCTCCACATACACGTCAGTGAACACACATCTGCCTATACACGTCAGTGAACACACATCACATCCACGTCAGTGAACACACCTCTACATACACGTCAGTGGACACACATCACATCCACGTCAGTGAACACACCTCCACATACACGTCAGTGAACACACATCGCATACACGTCAGTGAACACACCTCTACATACACGTCAGTGAACACACCTGTACATACACGTCAGTGAACACACCTGTACATCCATGTCAGTGAACACACCTCCACATACACGTCAGTGGACACACCTACATACACGTCAGTGGACACACCTGTTCATTCATGTCAGTGAACACACCTCCACATACACGTCAGTGGACACACCTACATACACGTCAGTGGACACACCTGTACATTCATGTCAGTGAACACGCCTCCACATACACGTAAGTGAACACACCTGCATATACACCTCAGTGAACACACTTCGCATACAACTCAGTGAACACACCTCCACATACACGTCAGTGAACACACCTCCACATACACGTCAGTGGACATACCTACATACACGTCAGTGGACACACCTGTACATTCATGTCAGTGAACACGCCTCCACATACACGTCTGTGAACACACCTGCATATACACGTCAGTGAACACGCCTCAGTGCTGGGTACGTTAATTTCATGCGCCCTCTTGCCCAGATGCTACAGATATATTTGTTATACTCTGTGCATATTTTTGTCTTTGTCCTTTTCTTTATAGCTCAGTCCGCTGTCGGACAAAATCGGACAACTGCCAGGCAGTTTCATTTCCAAATATACACCAGAAGTCATGAACATAGCAATACTTTCTGTGTACAGGTGAACATCGAACGCCTGCATACACCCTACGGCTTATGTGACGACGGCACAGAGTTCAGGAGTAGGTTCAACATCACATATACACGACAGGTGAGACAAACAGGCCAATCCCATTAAAAACGTCATAAATATTTCTACGACCAAGCTTGTCATAAACTATTCTTGGTGTGGCACAGCAATTAGTGAAAGTACCGTTATGTTATCTGATCAAAAGCACCCAGCCTGGAAAAGATGCATGTGACCAAATGCTGTTGCATCCCCTGAGAATGCCGATCGCTGCATCCCGCACCTGTATTTCTACTCATGTTTTAGGCGTGTCAGGACTACTGTCTCGTGCGCTTCATCGTGGACTCGTGCGGATGCTACGACGGTCGTCAAGGAGAAATCAACATGATATTCCGCATCTCAGATGTTCGCGACTGTAAGACTCAGACAGGTAAAACTGAACTGAACTGAAGTATGTTTTATGCCGCGGTTATTGTAACTATGTCAAATCTGGACCTGAGAGAAATATGAGTTGCAAACATGAGAGACTACTTATGCATTGGCACGATGACAAAGGTCGCAAATACGAACACCGCTTGTTCATTGGTAGACTATAAGGGGTCTGTGAAGGTGGTAGTGTATTGTCCTCAGACAGAGGGGCCTGTGAAGGTGGTAGTGTTTTGTCCTCAGACAGAGGGGCCTTTGAAGGTGGTAGTGTATTGTCCTCAGATAGAGGGGCCTGTGAAGGTGGTAGTGTATTGTCCTCAGACAGAGGGGTCTGTGAAGGTGGTAGTGTATTGTCCTTAAGACAGAGGGGCCTTTGAAGGTGGTAGTGTATTGTCCTCAGATAGAGGGGCCTGTGAAGGTGGTAGTGTATTGTCCTCAGACTGAGGGGCCCGTGATAGTGGTAGCGTATTGTCCTCAGACAGAGGGGCCCGTGAAGGAGGTAGTGTATTGTCCTCAGACAGAGGGGCTTGTGAAGGAGGTAGTGTATTGTCCTCAGACAGAGGGGTCTGTAAAGGTGGTAGTGTATTGTCCTCAGACAGAGGGGCCCGTGAAGGAGGTAGTGTATTGTCCTCAGACAGAGGGGTCTGTGAAGGTGGTAGTGTATTGTCCTCAGACAGAGGGGCCTGTGGAGGTGGTAGTGTATTGTCCTCAGATAGAGGGGCCTTTGAAGGTGGTAGTGTATTGTCCTCAGGTAGAGGGGCCTGTGAAGGTGGTAGTGTATTGTCCTCAGACAGAGGGATCTTTGAAGGTGGTAGGGTATTGTCCTCAGACAGAGGGGCCTGTGAAGGTAGTAGTGTATTGTCCTCAGATAGAGGGGCCTGTGAAGGTGGTAGTGTATTGTCCTCAGACAGAGGGGTCTGTGAAGGAGGTAGTGTATTGTCCTCAGACAGAGGGGCCTGTGGAGGTGGTAGTGTATTGTCCTCAGATAGAGGGGCCTGTGAAGGCGGTAGTGTATTGTCCTCAGACAGAGGGATCTTTGAAGGTGGTAGGGTATTGTCCTCAGACAGAGGGTCCTGTGAAGGTGGTAGTGTATTGTCCTCAGACAGAGGGGCCTATGAAGGAGGTAGTGTATTGTCCTCAGACAGAGGGGCCTGTGAAGGAGGTAGTATATTGTCCTCGGACAGAGGGGTCTGTGAAGGAGGCAGTGAATTGTCCTCCGATAGAGGGGCCTGTGAAGGCGGTAGTGTATTGTCCTCAGACAGAGGGATCTTTGAAGGTGGTAGGGTATTGTCCTCAGACAGAGGGTCCTGTGAAGGTGGTAGTGTATTGTCCTCAGACAGAGGGGCCTATGAAGGAGGTAGTGTATTGTCCTCAGACAGAGGGGCCTGCGAAGGTGGTAGTGTATTGTCCTCAGACAGAGGGGTCTGTGAACGGGATTGTGTATTGTCCTCCGACAGAGCGGTCTGTGCACTAGGAAGTACTTCTGTGTGACGTATCGTCTGTCAACATTTCCTCATGATTGTATTCTTTCAAGAAATTCTTACCCTCTTTGTATTCAACACTGACTTCTAATATGATGATTCAAACAGAGATTCAGTGCGTCATCAAGATTGAGAAGGACTTCGAGTTCGGTCGCCTGTCCTCCCAGTGCACGTGCTACAGCCCCTGCGTGTGAGTAGCTCTCTTCCATTTGCCTGCATATACTTATATCAGTGCATGTAGCTTCAATGTACACATTCCTTTATCTGAAAACGCAATTACTGTCACGTTTTCGGGTTACCGAAACACGACAGGAAATATTTGACGATTATACACAAGCTGACAATAAAACCATGAAAAAATCTCCATGTATCTCGCGGAGAGCTTCGCTCACTTTGACACGCTAAATTATGTGTCAAGTTGGTTGGTTTGTTGTTTAACGCCGCACTCAGCAATATTCCAGCTATATGACGGCGGTCTGTAAATAATCGAGTCTTGACCAGACAATCCAGTGATTGACATCATGAGCATCGATCCACGCAATTGGGATCGATGACATGCATCAACCAAGTCAGGGAGCCTGACCACCCGATCCCGTTAGACGCCTTTTACGACAAGCATAGACGCCTTTTACGGCAAGCATGGGTTGCTGAAGACCTGTTCTACCCCGGAATCTTCACGGGTCTTGTGTCAAGTGTGTCAAGAAATATGCTTGGTTCAGTAAAACACACGGTGATTAAGTATAGCCAGCACTGAACATTGTATGAAATGTACATTCAATGTTTTCGCGATTGACAATTTGCCATATGATCCTCTTCCAGTGAATCCTTGTTCGAGAAAAGCATCTCTAGCCGACAATGGCCGTCCGTGGAATATGGGGTAAGCGCCCATCACCTCTTCACAACAGAAGGCCTCTTCATGCCATCTTCCCGTGGAAAGGGAGTTTATTGATTATATATGTCCAGTTTCCACCCTTGCCGAACAAGGCTCGGATTATGGAGTTACAAAATGGCTGGACTAACGAGTCTATGCATAGTCCAATCAAAATCGTGTAACGAAATCGACAACCGGTTCGTAAACAGCAGTCCAGATTTCGGTCGATTGCAGTATTTGCAAAGCATGTGTTCTGCCAACTCGGCGTCAACAGACATTTTCCAAATCTTTTCATGTTTTTAATCAAGTTGCTGATGTGATTTGATGCACTTCGCAAAATAAGACCCGTTTTATTACACTATAGATCTTGATTATTGATCAGATCGCCTTGACTGGGCGCCGCCATTTTGTTTGAAACAACTGTAAGTGAAAAGAGAGGTGGAATCCGATTGGTCAATAGGAGAGACATAGGAGAGGGATAACTCGTAATAGCCACTAGTGACGCTACGATCGAGTCCAGAAATTCCAGTCTAGATAGGCAAGGGTGGAAACTGGACTTTTTACAGTCGGTTAACTTCCTTGCCTCGTGAAGATGCCTGCATCCCTTACGACATCGTGTACATCCACGATATACCACTTACTTAATATACCCATTCATCCTCATCTCGGACAACATTTCCGATGCAGCTTGTACTGCAAAGGTGTGCTCTTTGCCTTGCCATGACACGATGGTTAGGACTTACCCCCACTCGTGATCAAAGGTTTGCTTGTTTCTTGTTTAACGCCGCACTGAGCAATATTCCAACTATATGACGGCGGTCTGTAAATAATCCAATCGGGACCAGACAATCCAGGGATTGACATCGTGAGCATCGATCCACGCAACTGAAATACGATGTGATGCATCAACCAAGTCAGCGAGTCTGACCACCCAATCCCGTTAGTCGCCTCTTACGATAAGCCTAGTCGCCTTTTACCGCAAGCATGGGATCTTCATGTGTCACACTGATAGCTTCTCGTTTGTTTCAGAAAGTACTGGTGGAGGCGATATGCGCCAGGTCGGACGCCGAACACTGCAGGAAACTCCGGGAATATGATGGCTTCCGGTTGTCGTAAGTTCAACCTCGTGCACCTCAGTGTGATAGGGAATATACGACCCAACTTCTTATAGGAATAATGATAAGGTTTATTCTGTTACGAAACACAAACAATTTATTTTAATGTATTGACTTAAAGTAACTGAAAATTCGTCAGGTCCATTTTAATATCTTACGCAATCGTATTGCACCACCCCAGTCAATCTCAGGTTCCAACCCTGTATACTCACAAATGTCCAATCCGGGATAGAATAGGTCTTCAGCAACCCATGCTTGCCGTAAAAGGCGACTATGCTTGTCGTAAGACTGATAGGATCGGGTGGTCAGGCTCGCTGACTTGGTTTATGCATGTCATCGATCCCAATTGCGTGAATCGATGCTCATGATATCAATCACTGGATTGTCTGGTCCAGACTCGATTATTTACAGACCGCCGTCATATAGCTGGGATATTGCTGAGTGCGGCGTTAAACAACAAACAAACAACAAACAAAACACAAATGTCCAAGAAAGGTCGAGTGGAACATATTCAGTCAGCGTCGATATAACGTACTAAATGGGACATACATGCCTTATGAGTGAGTGAGTGAGTTGGGATTAACGCCGCTTTTAACAGTATTCCAGTTATATCGCGGCGTGTCAGCTTGATGTAGGAGGAAAGCCCGAAGTGATGCAGGTCTCAGACGTTTATCACTTCGGTGAAACCCACGAGCACGGGTATGGTGCTGACAAACCTAGAAACATAATCGGGGCGAACCGGGATTCGAACCCACAATCATAGGTTTCTGGCATGCCCAAGGGACGCAACTCTGCACAGCGAATCGCGGCGCCTTAGACGACTGGACCACACACACACACACCCCACAACCCACCCCCACCCACCCCCACACACACACACCCCACCCCCACATGCCTTATGAGATTACAACCTTGGTCTGAACATGCTCGCTACGTGACTATAATCACTAACTGACACTGTGAACCAGTTGAGAAGTGAGATGTCAATATTAAATTATAATATTTCTAGAAACGTGACTTTTAGTGCATGGAGTCACAGTGGGAGAATTATTCCATGAAGGAACCATTGATTGGTTGTCATGCGTCTTGTCTTACCTCATTACGTTCAGTAAATTACTGATGGATTGGAATGTTTACAAAGCTCATATCTATATTTACAGACAAAACTTCATAAAACTAAACATATTTTACGAAGATCTGAACTACGAAAACATCACGGAGGAAGCGGATTATGCGGTAAGTGTTTGTGTGGAAGACTGTTTTCACAGCTGATTTGTTAATGAGAACTATGAATACATCGCTCATCACATTGTTTGTTTGTTTGTTTGTTTGTTGTTTAACGCCGCACTTTGCAATATTCCAGCTATATGACGGCGGTCTGTAAATAATCGTGTCTGGACCAGACAAACCATCGTTTGACATGAGCATCGATCCACGCAATTGGAATCGATGACATGCATCAACCAAGTCAGCGATCCTGACCACCCGATCCCGTTAGTCGCCTCTTACGACAAGCATAGTCGCCTTTTACGGCAAGCATGGGTTGCTGAAGACCTATAACTATTCTACCCCGGATCTTCACGGGCCGCTCATCACATTGAAAGTCTTTAACACGCTCTTTCACATTCTAATTAACAACCACATTAATAATATTATTACACACGATAGTATCGGTAGTCCTTGCAGTGTAGGTTTTGTCTCGATAGTCTTAGTAATCTCGGTATTGTCCCCGTAGTCTTAGTAATATCGGTATTGTCCCCGCAGTCTTAGTAATCTCGGTATTGTCATCCTAGTCTTAGTAATCTCGATATTGTCACCGTAGTCTTAGTAATCTCGGTATTGTCACCGTAGTCTTAGTAATCTCGGTATTGTCCCCGTAGTCTTAGTAATCTCGGTATTGTCACCCTAGTCTTAGTAATCTCGATATTGTCACCGTAGTCTTAGTAATCTCGGTATTGTCACCGTAGTTTTAGTAATCTCGGTATTGTCCCCGTAGTCTTAGTAATCTCGGTATTGTCATCCTAGTCTTAGTAATCTCGGTATTGTCCCCATAGTCTTAGTAATCTCGGTATTGTCCCCGTAGTCTTAGTAATCTCGGTATTGTCCCCATAGTCTTAGTAATCTCGGTATTGTCCCCGTAGTCTTAGTAATCTCGGTATTGTCACCGTAGTCTTAGTAATCTCAGTATTGTCACCGTAGTCGTCGTAATCTCGGTATTGTCACCGTAGTCTTAGTAATCTCGGTATTGTTATCCTAGTCTTAGTAATGTCGGTATTGTCACCGTAGTCGTAGTAATCTCGGTATTGTCACCTTAGTCTTAGTAATCTCGGTATTGTCATCCTAGTCTTAGTAATCTCGGTATTGTTATCCTAGTCTTAGTAATCTCGGTATTGTCACCGTAGTCTTAGTAATCTCGGTATTGTCACCGTAGTCTAATAATGTCGGTATTGTTCCCGTAGTCTTAATAATATCGGTATTATCCCCGTAGTCTTAGTAATCTCGGTATTGACCCCGTAGTCTTAATAATCTCGGTATTGTCCCCGTAGTCTTAATAATGTCGGTATTGTCCCCTTAGTCTTAATTATATCGGTATTATCCTCGTAGTCTTAGTAATCTCGGTATTGTCCCCGTAATCTTAGTAATGTCGGTATTGTCCCCCTAGTCTTAGTAATCTCAGTATTGTCCCCGCAGTCTTAGTAATCTCAGTATTGTCCCCGTAGTCGTAGTAATCTCGGTATTGTCCCCGTAGTTTAATAATGGCGGTATTGTCCCCGTAGTCTTTGTAATCTCGTTATTGCCCCCGTAGTCTAAGTTTAATAATGTCGGTATTGTCCCCCTAGTCTTAATAATCTCGGTATTATCCCCGTAGTCTTAGTAATCTCGGTATTGACCCCGTAGTCGTAGTAATCTCGGTATTGTCCCCGTAGCCTTAGTAATCTCGGTATTGTCCCCGTAGTCTTAGTAATCTCGGTATTGTCCCCGTAGTCTTAATAATGTCGGTATTGTCCCCGTAGTCTTAGTAATGTCGGTATTGTCCCCGTAGTCTTAGTAATCTCGGTATTGTCCCCGTATTCTTAGTAATCTCGGTATTGTCCCCATATTCTTAGTAATCTCGATATTGTCCCCGTAGTCTAAGTAATTTCGGTATTGTCCCCGTAGTCTAAGTAATCTCGGTATTGTCCCCCTTGTCTTAGTAATCTCGGTATTGTCCCCCTTGTCTTAGTAATCTCGGTATTGTCCCCGTAGTCTTTGTAATTTCGGTTTTGTCCCCGTAGTCTTTGTAACCCAGGTAGTGTCTGTCGTAGCCAAGGTAGTGTCTGTAGTAGCCAAGACCGGGTACTGTATGTATTAGCCCCAAATCCCAGGTAGTGTCTGTAGTCCCGCAGTGAAAGGAGCGCCAAGATACCATTTCGCCAATATGAATTATGTTTGAACCGTAAAGTTAGATCGGCTTTAATGAAAATATTAGGTGATGGAGTTTAACCACAATTTCACGCCATACGTCTCAGAACACCATACAAAGGTTGGCGTTCCATGCTTCTCATATCATTACTTTGTTTTCAGGAAGCACAGTTCTTGTCGGACATCGGTGGTACGCTCGGGTTGTGGATCGGCTTGTCTGTGATCAGTATCTTTGAGATCGGACAGTTTTTCGTGGAGATCATGGGTGTCTGTTTCGCGCGCTGCGGAGCTAGCACGGATTCCCGGAGAACAAATCCACGCGTGCGCAGTGAGACATCTACGAGCAAGCCACGGTACCCGGATTACCAAACTCGCTCTGACTACGCTCGTAGTCAAAATGGCGACTACCGGGCGAGCTATGGCCATTAAGATCTCCCGGGTCAGCTCCGGGCCCTGATCTTTACAAGAGAACAAGGAACTTTCATTGAAAGATAAAGCAGTGTGATTTTTTGGTGTTTCATATATCGGGCATTAAGGGAGGTCATGAGTTTTTGCGAGTTGCAAGAGATCAGAGCACTGACGACTGCACACGACACTGTGAAACTTTAGCTTCATGTATGTTATGTACTGATCAATGACATGCAAACAGTGCAATAGACAAGGGCCATTAAAGTTATACAACAGACGAAGACCAGTGTTACAGTGCTCTTGGCATAAATTTGTTTGTTTGTTTGTTTTACGCCGCACTCAGCAATATTCCAGCTATGTTGTTCCAGAATCACAACTCTTCCTCACAAGTTGAACTTTGAATATAATATTACAACGTACGACCACGCCCTCCAATGTGTAAAATACCATGTATGTATAACGTACGACCACGCCCGCTAATGTGTAAAATACGGTGTATGTATAACGTACGACCACGCCCTCCAATGTGTAAAATACCATGTATGTATAACGTACGACCACGCCCTCCAATGTGTGAAATACGGTGTATGTATAACGTACGGCCACGGCCTCCAGAGTTTAAAATACGGTGCAAGTATAACGTACGACCACACCCTCCAATGTGTAAAATACGGTGTATGTATAACGTACGACCACGCCCTCCAATGTGTGAAATACGGTGTATGTATAACGTACGGCCACGGCCTCCAGAGTTTAAAATACGGTGTATGTATAACGTACGACCACGCCCTCCAATGTGTAAAATACCATGTATGTATAACGTACGACAACGGCCTCCAGAGTTTAAAATACGGTGCAAGTATAACGTACGACCACGCCTTCCAATGTGTAAAATACCATGTATGTATAACGTACGGCCACGGCCTCCAGAGTTTAAAATACGGTGCAAGTATAACGTACGACCACGCCCTCCAATGTGTAAAATACGGTGTATGTATAACGTACGACCACACCCTCCAATGTGTAAAATACCATGTATGTATAACGTACGACCACGCCCTCCAATGTGTGAAATACGGTGTATGTATAACGTACGGCCACGGCCTCCAGAGTTTAAAATACGGTGCAAGTATAACGTACGACCACGCCCTCCAATGTGTAAAATACGGTGTATGTATAACGTACGACCACGCCCTCCAATGTGTGAAATACGGTGTATGTATAACGTACGACCACGCCCTCTAGTGTGTTAACTACCGTGTAAGTATAACGTCGATCATGACCACGACCTCCAACGTGCTCTGCTTACCAACACCACCCCACGATAAAGATAATGTAAAGCAAATATTCCTTAACATTCTGTCTTTTAGATTAAGCTTTGAACTGCACCAGTCATTTGTCATAACCTGGTTATCCTCAAAACCGCGACTGCACGAGTTACCTCCCTTCCATTGCTAACACGATGCCTCATCCCCTGTGCTGACAGACTTCCATAACATATAACCAACTTGCGAAGAACGTGTGATATTGATGCAAATAAAAACCCACTTAGTTTCGCAGATACAATTCCTTCTTAAGATATATCAATATATAAAGGCGTTTAACCATTCGCTTCTCCCGTAATGTCATCGATTTTTCAGAATTGCTCTTTTAATGAAGTAATAGTTTTTATCGTAACCTGCTTTTTGGAAAGAAGGCAAAACTAATCGATAAAGCGTCTAATTACTCTCATTTCACATCGACATTATGATAAAACTGATCACAACTTAATATTTGATAAATGGCTGGACAGCCCATTACCTTTTCCCTTCGGCTTGTCGTGTAGGATATCTCAAGTCGTAATTATGGCTGCGTTCGCGTTTGATGGCATCTCCTTTCTGTATCAGCCGTCACTCTCAATCAATACTCTCTGGAGACTAGAGCCAACGATTATCCACATTTATCTAATTTCATGAATTTCGAGAAAGCGGTTTGCTGATCTCAATTGCGTTATTTTTCCTGCGCTTGCTCGCTTCAGAACAAACACAGGGTACGTACGCCTGGCATGTCCTCTCGGAGATGGCTCCTCATCCAGAAATCCCGCAGCATCCTTGAAGAGGGTGTACTACACAGGCTTGAATCAGTCTCCAGGTGTCGTCCTGTACCTAATAGATTTAGTCGAGTCCAAATATGTATTTAAACGTTCACCTGTTGGGATTTGAGAAAGAGCATCCTCTTTGTCTGCGAGATGCCGGATAATAATCATTGTCCAGTTACTGCAATATCAATACATTATCACTCAAGTAAACAAACCACCGTCGGAGATACATCAGTACAAATAAAATAATGTATTGAATAGTAATTGACACCAATATTACAGTGTATTAAATTGGTTCTTAATACAGTTTAGGCCCAGTTTTAAAGTTCTTTGTGAATGAATTTTGTATTTAAGAACGGTATTTTGCAAGGCAAGGTCATGTCCAGTAGTATTTTTTTTAAAGTGATGTACGATCGTATATATACAGCGTGAGTGAGTGAGTGAGTTAACAGTATTCCAGTTATATCACGGCGTGTCAGCTTAATGTGGGATATATGCCCGAAGTGATGCAGGTCACAGACGTTTACCACTTCGGTGAAACCCACCAGCACGGGTATGGTGCTGACAAACCTAGAAACATAATCGGGGCGAACCGGGATTCGAGCCCACAATCATAGGTTTCTGGCGTGCTCAAGGGACGCAACTCTGCACAGCGAATCGCGGCGCCTTAGACGACTGGGCCATCCGTGCCCCCGACTAATAATATACTCATCGCCAAAAGAAACGCGAACCATGGAAACATATAGAGAAGTATGTACGTTAAGAAGGGATGTTTCCAACGTGTACCTCTTAATGACAACACTAACAATCAGTCAAGTGTTACCACAGAGTGTCTTTATTCTTATCACGATATGCTGCACGTGATTTCCAATCTTTACACGCTGATTCTGCACGAGAAAAATGGTGCATCTCGAGTCATGGATTTATGACGTCACATGTGATGCGTTCATGAGCAACTGGTCACACATCATACCAGTATGTCCGTTTGTGCATCGAACCAATATGATATCTCTTGAATATGAGTAAGTCTTCTTGTCATACCAACACGTATGGTATTCGCGTTTCTTGTGGCGGTGAGTATATATTGTGGACATCTATATAAGGGCGAAACTCACTCCGGTCGCTTGCGAGACTTATGAAGTGCGTGACCGCCTCCGTGGTCTAGTGGTAGAACGTCCGCCCGGAGAGCGGAAGGTCCGGGATTCGATTCCCGACCGCGTCATACCAAAAGAGGTTAAAATATGGTACTTGTTGTTACCTTGTCTGGCGCTCGGCATTAAGGGGCTAAAACAAGGACTGGTCGGCTCGGAGTCAGTATACTGTATCTGAGTGTGGTATTCATGTTTAACTGCGGCATGGTATCTCAGTGGGCTAGCACTATAAATCGGCATCAGTCCGGTCTAGTACAAGCAGACACACACACGCACGTGCATGCACGTCGCTATATAAGTGCAATAATCTTGGACGCGACGTTAAACCCCATTTCACCTCACCTATGAAGTGCGTAATCTCTGTTCCCTTGGGACGTTCTCCTGTCTTCCAGTTTCTATAAGGAGTCCATGATTACTTGTTCTAAACTAAAAGATCAGGTTAACCGCATTTACAAAGACTATATTGTATAGGGTTCGACCAGGGGACTTGCTTTGTTGCATTGAGTTATATAGTCAAGCACAGCACATGCAACTTTATTATTCGGTTAGAAAAAAAGAATTAATATCAATAGGACACCAGACGTAGATATTATAATCTGAATACCTTACCAAGGGATCCGTGAGCCATGACATTAAGTGTGCTGTTTCGTAAGCCAAGAGCACGTTTCAGACACATAAGATGTACACGTTCCGTCAGCTGACATTTCTCAATCCCCAGATGTCACACCCATATAACAATGGCAGTAAGATTAATATATCAAATGCAGAAAGGAGAAGATGGTAAGTTTAAGTTTTTGCACTTTTGAGTAATGAAATTGAAACTTTAATGTTCAGTTCAGCGGAATGCTTTAGAGCAAATGTTGTGTCACACTCTCCATCTGCTGTAGTGCCTGATGCTGTTTCAGTGTCTTCCTGCTGAAGTGTTACCCTCTATATCTGCCGCAGTGTCTGGTGCTGTTTCAGTGTCTGCCTCCTGAAGTGTTACCCTCTCTATCTGCCGTGGTGCCTGATGCCGTTTCAGTGTCTACCTCTTGAAGTGTCACCCTCTCTATCTGCCGTGGTGCCTGATGCCGTTTCAGTGTCTACCTGCTGAAGTGTCACCCTCTCTATCTGCCGTGGTGCCTGATGCTGTTTCAGTGTCTACCTGCTGAAGTTTTACCCTCTATATCTGCCGCAGTGTCTGGTGCTGTTTCAGTGTCTACCTCCTGAAGTGTTACCCTCTCTATCTGCCGTGGTGCCTGAGGCTGTTTCACCCTCTCTTTCTGCCGCGGTGCCTGATGCTGTTCCAGAGACCATCTGACAATGGGTGTTTTATCCTGTATAAAGCTGCATCACGACGACCCACACTTGCGGGAATCCACTACACATAGTGTAGGACCGAGCCACATGTCTATGTGTAGATCAAGAAGTAGATCTCTGAGGCGGATCCTAATGTAACCACCGGGGTAACTTGCAATTCAATTTAATGTGAAAAACTCAACGTGGCTAAAATCAAGCCAGTATAGAGATGTTTGCACGTTATATATGCCCACTGGTTGCCAAGACTGATCCTCTCGTCTCCATTGAGTTTTACACCGTCTCTTCGCGTGTTCTCGAAAGAATCGCTCGGGCGGACATTTCAGCCGCTCATACCAAAAGACGTTAAAAGTTGGTACTTGTTGTTACCCTGTCTGGCGCTCCGCATTAGAGGGATAAAACAAGGACTGGTCGGCTCGGGGTCGGCTCGGGGTCGGTATATTGTGTCTTTGTGAGGAATCCACGTTAAACTGCGGTATCTCAGTGGGCTACACTATAAAACCGGCACCTGTAAATGCACGCACCTCGCTTTTTAAAAACATTTCACTTCACCTCAACTCAGAGTTTTCGGTGAAAAACAACAGTTACTTTATTATGTGGAGGATCTCTTTCGTAAAAGGCAGTGTATTCACCACGATAATAATCGATTACCTAGCTGTGGTTACCGACAATGCTTGTCGACTATCGGGATCGGTTGGTCAGGTTCGCTGACTTGGTTGATGCATGTCATCGTAACCCAATTGCGTGGATCGAT